TTTTTTTGGTGACACATCCGAACCACCTGGACAGATTTCTGTCCTGAACACGACCCCCACTGCATCCACCCGAAGAAACCCACACCAGAATCAACAACCTCAACAAATCTTAATCATTAAGCAGGTTCTAGCAGAATCCCGCAGGTGAGGATATATACATGTATATAATTGAGACTTCTCCTCCTTGACCGTTCCTGATAGACGACGAGACTGGGCCGTTGGGGTCGAAATCGGCAAATGCTCCAGCACACGAAAGCGTAATCCAATCCACACGGAAGCGCCGTTAAGGCGCCAACCATGAGTCAACTGATGTCCGAAACACCAAAAAAAAAACAGCCTCCCTCTCCGGAAAGTCTATGCATGGAATAGTTACATCATGTTACATACATGTGATATTACCCCATGTATGTATCGATTCCAGCTCCATGGATGCTCTGGGCGGACAAAATGAATCCACCCAAAATCGATCAACATGCAAGCTTCCGGATCCCAAACACCCAAACGCCTATGTCAATTGTAGACCCTGGATGAGGAAAAGAAACACAAACTGATTTAGAAAAAGCATGAAAAGCCCCCTTCACGCAAACAAAGCATGAATCTAGACCGTCTTACGCCACGTCTTTAAGACCACCCCCTGGCCGATTCTCCTTCGATCCATCCACGCAACATCCACGCATGCTCCCCGCCTGCTTCTTGCTGCTCTCCAAGGCCTCGCTCTGGTGACCTAGGCGCCGCTCCTTCTCCAAGAGCTCCGCGCGACAGATCCGCAGCTTCTTGGCCAAGTGTTTCTTCACCACCTCGGGTCCCGGCCAGTCCGGCGTTGGTCCCATGGCCGGTCAGTCCGGCGACGGCGGGACTGACACGAGCGTGTATTCCAAAAGGGGGAACTTCGCAAAGACGGGAAGTAGGGAGATAAATATAAATGGATCAAAACATATCAAAACCATCCAGAACCCCTTGGTTGGAGCCCTGCCTCCTTGAACATACCCACCCACATGTGCTTTCGAACGTCGATGCGACGTAGACGTTCTAATTTTCTCCTCGCCTCATCTGAGCCCTGTCGCAAGCGCAGGTCGATATGGATGAGCTCCTTGGACCAGGGAGCTGGGGAAGAAAAACGTCCAAGGGTCCATCAGGGTCCAAGACATCTGGATTCATGACCTACTTAACATATCTGAAAATTAACATGGATGAATGCTCAGGGTCCATGGTACGGTTGGATCGGGGATGTACATCATCCATTCCATCCCCGATGTTTGACATCCAGCTTGTGAAGGCACATATATAATGGCACATGTAGATCCAACCAACCAGCTCTAGGGCGCAAATTCATGATGATTCTTGTTTTCGAGCTGATTTGGTGCAGGGGGGGGTGAGTCAACGCTAAACCCGTTCTGGCAGCTGACAATAGGAAACAAGCCCGCACACAAAAAGAAAACAGCCTTTCAAGACCATTTACAGATGCTTGACTTGGCTTTCAAGGCAAATGTGGTTGTTGGGTCTTCGAGCCATTAAATCAATGGTGGGCCAGGAATCTCCGAAGAATGGGGAATAGAACTCCAAAGAAACTGGCCCAAACCACCTAACCTGGACCTCGGTCAGCCAAGGCTCGCGGAAGTTGGTGGACTCCACGATGTTCAAGCGGCTCTCACCACTGGCGGTGCACTCCTTAAACAGCGAGCAAACTGGGTCATGGGAAGGTTGTGCTAATACTTGGACGCGCTTAAGAAAAGTGCAAAACACAATCACAAGGGGAGGGAAAATCAACAATCACCTTAAGCAACACCAGGAATAAGGAATTGCCCTCACGCAGCTCCCAAGGACTTCCTTCCAAACTTTATCTGCTGGAGAAAGGGTTGGCAAGCCGGCTCCTTCACCATTGTTTTCAAGGCTTTTCGCCTAAATCTCCACTCATTATGCAATATATACTGCCATTCCTATCTGCGAATGGTCAAACTCACGTGTCAAGGTAAATCCCACAAAGACATAAGCAAACACAGTAGCATGGGATGCCTCTATACCGACCACGGTCTTGGGAGTGGCTCCCAACATGGCGGAAACATCGACCTCTCCAAAGCAAACTCCCGATTGGACCTCGCTACCTGGCATCCACACCTGCTGATCCCTCCAGGTGTGCTGGAATGTAAAAAATCCGTCCTTCACACCCCATATCCACCAACTTGCCAGGCATCCAAGGAGGCCAACATCTTGGAACTGCCAGGCTCCTGCTTGGCCCGCCCACCGGCCGAGGCGGCCGAGGATTCCCACTCGGCCTCGCTGCAGCGGCGCAGGAGGTCGGCCAGCTGCTCGGGGAAGGATTGGAAGTCCACCAGCAAACGCTGCTCCGAGCGCAGGGCATGGAAGTCGCTCTCACCTCTGCACGGGGGTCTCTCTCTCTTGCGGAGAGACCCAAGGCTTTCCCCAAAGGACAAACGTTCATCACCCATCCGGTTCTTTCCGGTTGTCTTCTGCAATGTCAGGCGGCGTTTTTTGGGGGTCCGCCCAATGAGCCGATGTCGTGTTAGTTGTAGTAGCTCTTGGTTGAATCAACAACCGATGGTCCAAAGTCCAAAGGTGGACTTTCTTCCCCGATGGAGGCATGGCATCATTGTTCAAGAACCAACATCAATGGGTGGGCATGCTCAAGTGCAAAAAAGCTCAGGAAATGAACAATGAACCTGATGTGAACAAATTATGTGATATATGGTGGTACAATGTGATACATGGTCCCTATGATTGCAGTGGCATATGCTGCTCCTTCAGGAGTTGCCTTGCCAGCTTGCCCCGAGCTTTTCTCTGGAAGAAACTCCTACACATGAGACTACACATGAGCCACGTCGCCTAAGGCCAAGCTATGATAGAAGAGGAGGTCCTTTTCGTCCGTGAGCTCCAACAACAAGCTCCGCGGGTGGGCAGGGTTGTCCGCCCATAATCGGATGCTCAACGGCGACGTGTAGTGATCCCGACCTGATCGAGGCTGCGGACCAGGTCATAAGCATCCTGAAAACATGGGGTTGATGCATAGATTGTACAGTATATATATATATATGGGATTGGATGGGGTTGGCCTTTTAGGGAGGACTCCCGCCCAAACAATGGGTATACTCTCTGTTATCTCTTCCAAAACTTTTTATTGCTATGTCCAGAATCCAGGCGTCTCTGTCTCTGGAGAGCCTGGCTGAAGCTCCATCATCCCACTATTCAATATTCAAGCCCATACCAGGAGTCACAAAGGGGTTGTTTTTAGTCCCTAAGTGAGTGGATAATGGGCACCCCTAACCTTAAGCACTGAAGCACCCCTTTGTGACTGCTGGTATTTACATCCTTCGTCACACTAAAATCTATAAGATGCCCACATGGCGCCGCCGAGTTCACGTTCGCTTGGAGAACTCATCGACCGTGCCCCCACTACTCGAAAGGAAGGACGGCCCGTTTCGTCGGCCTTTCGTCACCCTTCGAGTGGCGAAGTGGACACCGGCCACGGCGCGGACGGCGAGCGCCGGACGGCGAGCGGACGGCGAGCGAGGTGGACCTGGTGCCGATGACCTTCGATTTTGGGGACCTGTACCATCCAAGCAGACGCCCGAAGCAATGCAAAGCCGAAGAGAGGGCTATCTTAAGGGCTGCTATCTGTGGCGAGAAGCGAGATCGGGGGGCTGAGAGGCTTGTGAAGTGCTTCAACATGACCATTAAAAAACACTCATCCGGAGCTACCTGAGTGAGGCCCAATGTCACTCACCTCCCCTCGTCAAAAACGTTAAAAAAAAGCAGCTGCCTTTCTCCTACCGTAAGAACCCCTCAGTGTGCCCACACTGTTTGGGGAAAACGTGAGTCGGCTGGTCTGGTCCAAGTGTTGCAGAGTGGAACCGATCGGACGGTCCCATCGCCGCGTCCGCTCCACCGGTTCTTGCTGAGTGGGACAACCAATTCTCAAAACAGGTTAAACTGCAACTAACATGGAAGTGGAGTTCACCCCCTGTTTGTAGAGGAAAATGGTCTTCCAAGGGGCCATTCTCCACTTCCAAGTTGGTTCTAGGGAGTGTAAAGGTCATCCATTCAGTGGGTAGGCAAGCCCTAGTCTTGACCCCCTTTTCAGGCCTTTCTTCAGGCGTCCAAGGCGCCTAGAGGCTTGATCAAAACACACACCTTCTCAGAGAAGGTGTGCGGCGACTCCTCCTCCTCCATGTCCGACCGCATGGAGCCTCCAAAACGACATCAAACGACCAAAGCATGAGGATCATCAGGACTGGCGGATGGATGGAGTCGTATTGTAAAGTACTGCCATGCAAAGGAGCGCTCTCCTTAAAAGCTCACATGGCCGTCGTTGAGAGAAATCCTCAGAACGGCCAATGATGCCATCGCATCCCGCCAGGCATTTTTAGGGCCTCTGGTGCAAAGGCTGGGTCTGTCTTAGGGTCGGCCGCATGGCCGGCAACTTCTGCCACTGCCACCAACAAAGCTGCCAACTGAGGCTGATAAGGTTTCTTTATGTTTCTTTCATTCAATATCTTTCAATTATGAAAGTTCAAGGTTTCCCCAAGCTTCCCATTATCTTCCCCCCTTCTCACTCGCCCCCCTTCTCACTCGTGTGCCTGGCTGCTCCGGGGGGAGCGGCATGCGTCCGCCCGCGGCTTTACGCACGAAGTTGGGGATGTCGGGGGTGGCCTCTGGGTGTTCTGGGTGGCCTCTGGCGCAGTCCAACTTTGGGTGGTGAGGTCTGGCAGTTGGTTGTTGGCTTTTGTCTTCTTTGGTGGCTTCTTAGGTGATGGTTGCATTGAAATATCGATCCCGCTCATTCTGTTGATCCACATGGGAGCAACCTTGCTGACTGCAGCTGCTCAAGATTTGAATGACATCCATGTCACATATGGCCCGGCGAGTGCGTGACCCTTCTTGAGCCCAGCTTCCACGCAAGAAGGCACCCCATCAGGCATGACTTGAGTTCATCACATTCCCTGTAACAGTGGCCGATGCTCTCTCTAAAAATAGTGACAACTGTTTACGAACTGTCACAGGTACTGGGACACCCCCAAACACCCCCAAGGCATGACCACAGTTTGGTGGCCAACATGTGCGTGAGATTGGGTTTTTCTCTACTCTGTCCCCAATTCGCTCCGTAGTAGGGGTATGCAAAGGGAGCTACATCTACAACACACTCCTCCCAACTAACACCGTCATATTATGTTAGACTACCTATACCAGCACCCTCCAGAAATTGAGATGTGTTCGGCCCTAACAACCCTCAAAGGAGACCTGTTGAGGGTGCTGGCAGCGCCATATAACCGTGCACGGTCTTTCCAACGTTCACCGCAATTGGCCATAGCAGTTTCAACAGAGTGCGAGTGCTGCCTTCTTCCCTATCTTCCCTTCTCACTCTTGTTCCTTGCTGGTGGTGTCCAAATCATCTACCGAAACCATGGCCGAGATTGAACATGTCTCAAGACACCGTTTCCTGAAGCCAAGTCCTGACTTCCTCAGCTCTGGAAAAGGTTCGCCCCTTCTTTTGAGTGGCGAAACCCAACCAAACTCTTCAGCTTCTCCACGTATTCTGGGAAGGTTCGTCTCTCTCATTCTGCACCTTCTCTCCACATCCCCCCCCCCCCCCCGTCCAAAAAAAAAACAAAAACCATCTGCCCCCGCTCATCCGCCCCGCTCACCCCAGCGCCGCGCATCGGCCACACAAAACCCCTCGTCCTCTTGCTGCTGGAGCGACAGCTCCTGCAAGTGCGCGACCTCTGGGGACTCCTGCGAGTGCATCTGCCGCGGCAGTGAGGCGGCAGACGCGGTCGAAAAAGGCCGGGACGCTGTATCAAGCTGAAAATGTGTTTGGGAACTTCTTGAAGCTGATGTTGGGCAGTTTCAATGACAATGGGGTCCTTGATTATAAAAATTTGTTGAATAAGCTCACCTGGCCAAGGCTGCCTTTCGAACAAACGCCACAAAGTAATAACTATAAATTCACACATCTAACTTAACTAGTCAGGCTCAGCAGGTGCATAAAGCCAAGGCAAAAAGTAAAAAGTAAAACATCAATCCCAACATGGATGAAACATCTAATACCATGGTGCAAACAATAGGTATCCCATGGTATATCGGTATGATCCCGTTAACAATATCTTTAACCATCTACCCAGCCAGGACCTCCCTCTCCAACCCCCCCAACTCCTGGGACGCTTGCGCCTCCGCCTCCTCCCGGAGCTTCCGCTGGAGCTCCTCGCGGCGGCCCAGCGCCAAGGCCACCAGCCCTTGGACCTCCACCTCTGAGAGGCCTTTCCTCAACAAAGGCACCCACGGCGTCCGGTTCGCACCGCTTCGCACCGGTTCGGCGGACGCGTGAAACGCCCCAAACAAAAACACGTGTGGATCCAGCGCGAGGAGGTGGTTTGCGGACCCTTGGGAGGTGGTTGTTCGTTGGTTCCTCTGCCTTTTCTCCGGGAACCGCTGGGATGTGGACCGAGAACGGCGGTCCTTTTTGGTGCCATCCGAAGAAGCCCGGTGCAGCGAGCACCTCTTCAGGTGATCCACCGACTGGGTCTGTGAGTGAACGCGCTCCTAGGTGGTGGAGTGAGTGACATATGTGCTTTCGAGACGGTGAAATGGGCAGGGAAACGCCCGAGTTCGGGTCGAGGAGTTTTTGGGAGGGAGCGTGTCAGTCGGGGCAGGCGCTTCAGATCGTGAGATTCTGAGATGGATGGCGAATCCGAGTCAAGACCACGTTAAAGGATCAATTTGGATAGAATTCATGAACCTCAAAGTCGTTCACGTTCCGACTCTGGAGTTCCCAGTTCCCACCTCAAACAGCCACCCAATCATCCTCACCTTCCGTGATTCCCCGTCTTGGATCCCAGAAAGGCAGAGCTATATAATATAGTAAGTTGTTAGCACTTAGAATCTGCTCAGAACAATTATACTTGCAAATAGAATACGCAAACTACATCAAAAAATAATAATCATTTTTGGTAGCATGCAGTCAACTTACTATAAGTGCTGGCAACTTACTACATTATACAGTAATATATAGTCGGTATATACCTCCCAGGTGGATTCTTCCGAAATTCATGTGAAATCTCCGAAACCATGCGAAACTGCGCGCGATGCCGATGCGCGATGCCCAGCGGCTCTTGGGCATGCCGCAGCCTTTCCTGTAAGGAAGCGATCTTCGCTTCTGCATCGGCTTTCAGCTGTTGCTGCCTAAGGTGGATCGCTTTCTGAAGCGAAGTTCGGACCTCTGGGAGCCCCAAACGGGGCTATTTTGACCATAAGAACAAATCCCAGTGCATCCCAGGCAAACCACTATACAAGGAACCAGGGATTCTAGGTCTTTGGCTTAGTCTTTGGAATCATGGTTACCAGCTATGGTGGTAACTGGATGCCCCGGGAATGCGTAGTGAGGGCTGAGCTTCATGGAAGACTGTCTTTTTTTGGTGGTCGGCTGCCCTGGAGTTCACCTTCCAGACCCCCTATGCTCGCGGAGACCGCGAGAGGCGCCACATGTGGTCCAGTCGACCTTGCACTACTTGGCGCATCACCCACCTCCATGAGTGTTGGGAGGGTAAAAATACAATGACAAGCTATAACCAATAGGTCTGTTGGGGTTCGATTGTGACCCACACCTCCCAAGTCAATCCAGCTGGGCGATTCCAAGTCAGGGGCCTCAAACTTTTGCACAACACCCCGCTCCTGGCACAAGAAGCTCCCCTTCGGTCAAGGGTTGAACGCGGCCTATGGCCTATCATCTGGTCCAAGTTCAGGGCTCCCAAGTTCAGATCTCCAAGCGGGCGATCCCACCCAGCCTGGCCAGCGCTTGCTGTAGCTGCCCGCGCAGGCGAGGCAGTTCAGAGTGGCACAGGAGCTTCATCGCAGCGAGCCTGTCCAAGTGGTACGACAGCCGGATGGGAATGCTTTCATGGCCAACTCACTGATCATGAAAAATGTCTACAACTGTGTTGATGTTTGGAAAGGAAAATCTACAGGACCGGACAAGTCCCTGGAACCTCTACACAACCGAGGTCTTGTTCTATAGGTGAAAAATCATGAAACATGCTGTGACAACACAGGTTCAACAGCTCATTCTTCTCTTCCAAGTGGCTATGTCACGTTTATGTCATACAGTTGCTGAGGATTTTTTATGGAAACGTATGAGCGAGCGCCAAAACCTATGCACAAACAATCGGAACTCCATATGTTGGGGACATGGGCAGAAGTGGAAAACATGAGAGATAAAGAGAAAGAGAGAGAGAGAGAGAGAATTCGATGCACACAGTAGCCATCCTTCCCTCTTCACTTCCCCAACGATTCTTTTTCTAGAGTTCTTTACCTGTGGCATACACAGACCAAATGGTTGGCACCGCTTGATGTAAAGCGGAAATGGCCCAGCCAAGAAATACCGGAAATTGAATGAAATGACGGTATATGAGAGGACATAAAGATTTGTGACCGGACCCTTTTGGCTGGTGCCCACAACTTGAGTCAAGAGGGGGGGAAAACGGTGCCCAGCAAAAACTGGGGGTTTTCTCTTGGGGTCTATGTTTTCCCGAAGCCATCTGACCAGCCCAGGGGGGGCATCTCACAGTGCCAGGCTCCAATTCAGTATACTTCAGAAAGGAAGGCTTAAGTGAACACATACCGGTTGCGGGGGCGCATCTCCGTTCTCCAAGTTGAGGCAGGCCTTTTCGAGTAGCCATTGTCCTGCTCTACCACTACAGTCTGACCAAATAGCCTGGGAGTATGATATAGAGTCGGGCATCTCGATCGTGGAAACCCGACAGATCAACGGCAGACGTGCCGCGCCTGCGCCGCAGGTGCTGCTTCTTCTGCAAAAGCTCAGCCGTTTGGGCATATGCCTCTGCCAAGAGCTGTTGATGCCTCGCCGACGGCTCGGACGGAGCTTGTTATGCTGCTGGGAAGCCGAACTCGTTCTTCCTCTTCATATGACAGGAGTCCGAACAAAGTCTTTGCTCTGCCACGCGTCTCTGCGCGCGCGCGCGCCTCATCGGCGCTCTTTCGCGCTCGGTGAGCTCGGTGCGTCGCCCGTCCCGGGACGCTCGGCCCTTGAGACGTTTGAGGAGCTCGGCGTTTTGAAGCTCCAGAGAGATGACCTGAGCTGAGCTGAAAGCGCTGCTTCCAGCACTCTCTCTGTCTCTCTGTCACTGCGGGCTTCAGTCTTGGGACAGATGCACTCGCTAAGTTTAAAGGGAAGTAAGAAGAAAAGCCAAGCAGCAAGCTCTTGTCTTTTCTAGCGAAGCGAATGGGAGAAAATAAAGTCGTAAGGTTAACCAACCGGTGCAAGGAGAACACCGAGCACCAAACTAAACCAACCACCACATGGGCGTAAATTATGCCCAAAACATGCACCCAGCATGGGCGCAACCAACTTCCCTGCACTGCCTCAATGTGGCATTCAAGGGGCTAGGAAAGGGAACACTACACCAAAACTAGTTTGAAAAGGATGTAAACGTCCGCCATGGGCTGTCACTCGTGTCACTGACATGGTGCGAAATCGGATGGCTCTATCCTGGGATTCTTGTGTGTGGGGGCCACACAGATGCCCTGCTAAGCACCCGTCTGTAGAGAGTGACTAGCATGGTGAGGACACTTGAAAACTCCTCAGAGCCGCTTGCAACACAAATGGGCACAATGAAGAACGCTGGATCTTGGATTCAAGTTGGATGAGGTGGTTATGAGCTTAAGTAATATGCTTAAGTGATCTGAGTCGTTCACGGCTGCGCCCCAACCTGATCCTCCAAAACATGCTCCTCGGTTCTGCCTCGGTTCGGCGTAAGCACATGACATCTTATACCATATATGCCATGGCCATATGCCCCATCAACTCCAACTAACTGTCCCATCACCTGGGTGGTCGGTCTCGGGCCCCCCTCCCGGAGCGCTCCCTGATGGCACCTGGCGTCTGGCCAAGGGCATCTGGAACTGGAAGCGTCCTTCTTCTCCCTGTTCCGATGGGGCCTGACCCATCAAAACCCCCTCAGCGGCGCAAGCTTCTGCAAAGGTCTATGTAACATCCCGTAAAAATCACCGAATATCACCAGCAAATTTTTGATGACACACCAGTGAAACTGAAGGGTTTGCAGTTCATTCATTGAACAAGGATCACCGAAGATTGCTTGATCAGTCCAAATCGATCCAAATCCATCAACAATGACAACAATCACTCTGTAATTACACCGCTGGCGTTGGAACCTATACCGTCAGAACGTGCTCGTGCTCGTGCCACCTATGGATCTTCCATGATCTTCCTCCAAAAAGGGATCGTTCAAGCCAAGCCAACACCCTGGAAGATCCCTCTCTGACTATCGAGCCGTTGTTCGAAAGCCCAGGTCACCTTTCTCCACCTGTTCTTGAGAGGGAAAACCTGCCCCCCCCAAAAGGTCCAAAAAGGCTCTTTTGGGTTCTCCAAGGGTCCAACTCTTCCTGAGGATCACCCCTCCAAATGGACTCCAAACGAGCTCGGGTGGGTAGGGTAGGGTCGGGTGCCCCTCCAAGAAAACCACGAACGACACTGCGCCGGTTTTTCGGGGATACACCGAGATCTGCTAGAGATCTGCGGGTCCCGGGGTGGGTGATTTGGGTGATTGGGGTTCAGAACGTGGCCGAGGGGCTTAATTTCTGGTGCCTCGAAAGATCTCAAGCGCTGGTTAGGTGAGGTGAGGATGCTTTCAGGGTTGACTAGTGCATACTTAGTGCAAACCGCCTCCAAGACTGATGCCTACATCCCATAGTTTTCATGTCCAACAAAGGTGCAGTTCAAACAGCTAACACATGAACTCTCTTAGGATCTCTATGGAGCGTGCAAGGCCCAAAAAGGGCTGAAGAACGGCTTTTAAAAACTTCCATCAATCGACATCTTGGACAGCTGCTGAGACATCCCCTTCACCGGAATCACGAAAACGGCAAGACATCGCTCTCGTCTCAAAAATTCTTCTCGGCTTCGTCTTGCCTCTCGAAGCTTCACTTCTAACCTCGTCGGACGTGTCGCGTTCGTCGGCCGGAGGGTCAACCCATCCGTTGTGTGGGCTGCAACGGAATGGTCGGAATCGTCTAGGCTCAACTCTCGCATTGCTGTTGGTTGTGGATTATTTTCCTTTATGAATTCTCCCTCTCTCTCTATACATATATACACAATACCTAGCACTTCCAACGGGTGCCCAATGGAGACCTGTAAGTGGGGTAGGGTAGTCTATTGAACACCCATTGGATGACCCGGTGTATGCATAAATGTGCTCATAAATACAAATGCATATCAGATCATATCAGGACATAATCATCACTTTGCTGGTTTGACTCCCATTCTTCCACCCATGCCATTGCATGACCCGTTCGTGGGCACAGGTCAAACCGAAACAACCATTGGCCGTGTGGCGTGCCAAAGCTGCTGGGCGCCAAGGGCAGCGGCACCACGCGAAAGACCAGCTGCGGAACAGGTGGGATCGCCTGTTGGCGCCGGTCGGGGTGATTCTCAGGATGGTTTTGTGTCCAGACGATTCTGGATGTAGTGATGCCCACCAACGATTGGTCGAAGAGAAGCCACCATCCCAAGGTTCTACGATAAAGCTCATGACACGGTTCCCATCGTGCATCTCAAAGCCTGCAGTTGTGCCAATCAGCTTGTAGAATAATTATGGGGGATTGGCATATAGGTGGCTCAAAATCAAAGGAAAGGCTTTTGATATAGGAGTCTTCTAAGATCCGGGTTTGATACCGATTTAGAAACCAGTCCGTGGGACCGGATGGTATCGGGACCAGCCAGGCTTCTGCGAAGCGCATAGGAAGCCCTTGGCCCTCCAAATCCCAAGCACCGCATGACATCGAAGAACACGCTGGCCAAGCAGGTTGCCTCCAGGACTCCTCTGGCCAGTTCCTGCTCCCCTTGCATCACTCGCACCTCCAGGCCCATCTCCACCTGAGCGCGACTCGACTCAACGACACGTCTGGTCCCATGAAACGTCTAAAAAGGTAAAGCTGTTTCCTAAGTATAATTAGCCTCCTTTTTCCATCCACACCTGGGGAGGGTTCTGCATCCAGAAATCCACACTCTTTCATCCTCTGATCTGTCAGCCACTCTTTTCGCCACTCTGTCAGACCCACCTTAGGAGGCCCCGAGCACGCGCGCGCCTCCATCCGGAAGGTTTCCTCCCAACGCGGTCGCAGTGGCGGCGCGGGCGCCGAGAAGAGCGGTGCAGGCCAAGGGCGAAGCTCCAGGTGACGGCTCAGGTCGCCTAGGAAGAAACAAAGAAGCTACTAGGAGGCCTTACTATGCCTTACTACTATAGGAGCAAGGATGCTACTAGGGGCTCCTGGCATCGCTACTAGGAACAAGAAGCTACTAGGGTCCTCGCTCAGAGCTCTTTCGAAGACGGGGGACGCCGGCACTGCCGGCATCTGACTGGTTCGCATGTTCCGTTCCAATGGGGTCCTGATGTCGTGATCCCTTGGATCGGGGTTGAAGGGGGCCAAGTGCCCTGTTAGTCCTGACTCCACTTCCGAGCTGCCCTGGTGCCATGTGGGTCTCGCCAAGCGCAGCTCCAGCACCCGCGAAACCGACGGAGCCGCGTTGCCCATGGCTCACCGTGATGAATGGCGTGCGTGGACGATTTCGTTCGGGTAGAGGGTTCAGAGGTGGAACTGTACGAATCATACAAACACCTGGGGCGGCGTGACACCCGAAACCTAGACCCCTTGGTTCACTGTACAGACACCTGAAACCCACCCCAAGGTCTGTGAAGCATCTCTCAACCTTTCAACCTCGCTGGCGGATGTTCGGTCTGGACTCGCAGGACTCGCCGGACTCAGCAGGTTCATGATCCATTCTTTCTTGACAGTTGCAGGGCTCCGCAACTGAAAAAGCTACGGAATTTCAGAGGGCACTGGCACCCTATAAGCATGTCTTTGAACTGTGAACTTGGGGGCCCTTATGCTATCTATTCTTGGACTTCATGCTCTTTGGCAGACGAGTGCCTAGGCGTGCCTATAGGCGTCTTCCACTTGGCTAATACCTCCGTGGCCTAGTGAGTTCAACGGCTGCAGGACATGGTACTTCACAACGGAGCTGTGAAGTACTGACAACCTTTGTATCATCACATGATCTCGCTGAAGATGCACTGATTGCAGAAAAGGAATGCCCATGGCTGCTTCCTCACAGTTCGAGCAACTCAAGCTTCAAGTGCTTCAATCCATGCAGGCTTCAATCCATGGTCTCGAGTTCGGTGTGTTTCTCCACTTCAGCCAGGGAGGTGTTCAGGAACTATCGTTGCAATGCTATCGACCCCTTACCGAGCTTGGCGCTGCAATTCTGGAAGTGATTGCGTCTTGGAGAAGTAGCTTCCTGAGATAAGGAAGCTGGAGTCAGTGGATGGTGGGAGAGGGTGGACCCCATCAACTGCCTGGGATAAATCATTTGGAGAAGAAACCACGCAGTGGCATGGAGAAGAAAGGCCAGTGACGAGATAGCTCCTTTAAGGTCTCTAGGCAAAAGTTTTTTGGGGGTTCGGGGGTGCTTGTGAGAGAAGCTTGAAAGTGGAAAACGTCGGCGGTATCAAAGGACATATCCAATTTTTATAATGTCTCCCCCAAAGACTGCAGAAGAAAACAATGCCAATGAGTTCACCATTTAGATCTGATACCGCCGTGTCTGAAGCATAGCAGCAACTGGTGTGCCAACCTGAGCTTTGACCAAATTGGTCTCTCAACTAAAACAGGATAGACTCGAGGTGACACTATCGTGGCTTACTTTGAGGGAGTCTAGAAAACAGCAGCTATCAGCAGCTCCAACAGGTTGCTAAGAACTTTTGACCTCTCTTTGTGGTTTTCATCCGGTGCCCCAAGGGGCGGAACATGGACCGGCAAGGTGTCCTATCACCGAAGCATGATGCCAATTCTTCGCAGAGAACACATGCCACACGACCCAAAAACCACCGGTCGGTCGCGGATGGAACCTTCGAATGCCACCCTTCTCGGCCCTTTCAAACGAGAAGACAAGAACCCAGCACCAACGTGACAGCTCGATGTACCGTAATTCAAAGAGAGCAAGTGAGACCATCCAAGACTTTCCACACATTCAGGTGAGAGATCTCCATGTGGGCTCTTCATGGCCCTGCATCTCAAAGGTCTCAAGAGCTGGAACCTTCCGCCTTCCCACAGGATGGGCTTCAGTCATTTCCCACGCCCAGTCGTCATTCCCAGCGTCTTTGTCCCTGAGGGCATCGTTCATTCTTGTTCACCCCGGCATTGAAGCGCTGGTTCCTTCGGCCCACGTGCCGCGCATCGCGTGGTCACGGCTTTGGTCGAAAGCGCAGGGAGAACTCCCTGTCCCAAGCACTCTTGAAGAAGGCTTCAATAGCCCTTGAAAAGCTCAACATGGTTCAACGCCCGAAGTATGCACATGTTGTTTTTTGCTCTTTGTACTTCTCTCTCCATCGCGCTTTGGTGGTTTCACGATGTTTTATAGCATGACACCAACGAAATCACTCACACAGGCTCTTATATGGTGCTCTATAGAAATATAAAAAGTTGTTTCATACCTCCACGTTCTTCAAAGCGCACCCAAAACTGTTGCTGAATTGTCGTGCCGTTTGGAGCGCCCAAACGGAAACACCGCGTCAGGCGCTCCTCCTTGTTTGCTTGAACGAGCGTTCTTTCACCATTCCGAAAATGACAAAAAGCACAAGCATCATGAACCCATCTGTCCTAGCCACAAACGCGGCAGTACAAACAAATCCTGTCTGAATGATCTGAATTTCCGCAAACGGCAAACGCCTAACCACTACCACTACCACTTCGTGTCGTTGTCCTGATTCTTGGGGGGGGCGATGTTCACCGTAAAGCATGGAACAATCAGTGGCCGTTCATGACTGCTCGTCCACCTTCAACGGAGCTTAAAGAGGCCATATATGTGGAGGAATTTGCAAGGACATGTGAGGAGTGAGGAGCATTGAGAAATGCACAAGGGTGTATGCCTTTCAAGTATATGAATCTGAATACTTTCCATCTGTCACACTATGAGAGAAAGTAGGTGATGGAGCCCCCCTTACAAGTGGGGGTTGAAGTTTCAGAACGTGGAGCGGCGACCTTTATCCCGGAGCAATTCCATTCAATTCATGAAACAACGTAGAATATGTGCCTTGCTGCCTTGCTCATTCCGTAAAACAACATACAATTACAAAATACAGAGGCGAAGACTCATCAACGAAAGACAAGAACAAGTGACTTACTTCTACCGACGGATCTCCAAACTTGCTGCCCAGAAGCCATTTCGGCCTGATCTGGCTCTTGCTGAAGGTCACTCTGGGCAAATACTTCCCAGCACCTGGCAGAGTCGCGCTCGGCTCGGCACTGAAGTGGAGAAGTATGACAGTATTCTTGGATTTGCTTAAGGAGCCTGGAAAACATATGCCCTACAAGTGAAGGAGCTCATTTGACTGGACTTGGTCATAGAAAAACTACTTAAGGAGGTAGACCAGGTTTTAAACTGGGTCTTCGGACCTCTAGGCCCGTGGATTTCGATCGAGCCATAAGGGAAAAAACAAATCACCTTAATAAGCAAAACCAGGGTATGCCACAGTCTTGCACCTCACTGGAGAATGTATTTGCACACCTCACCGCGAGCCTATCTTGCCTCCTAGGCCTCAAGGGCCCGGACAACCGATCTCCTCTCGATGAACGACGCCGCTCGCTTGACCTCCCATCCAGGGCCCGGGACGCCCAAAACGGCAGTGACTGGGCCACTTGGACAGGTCCAACCCACTTTGTCCATGTCCAGTTGGCACGTGCCGATAGGTTCAACACGATGCCTTAAGGCAAGCACGTGTCCATGGCGATCCGGCCGGGTCCGGCCTTTCCATCCGCACAGCGGCTCCGACTCGCCTGGCCTTCGACCCTGGGCGTCTCCTTCGGCTCCTCCGCGGTGTCCGGCGGCGCGTGCTGCCGGAAGATCGGATTCGTCGAGGTCTGCAGCCAAGTGATGTACCTGGGCGTGGTCCCGGCTGACCCACGCGTGGCCTGTCAAGAGCCTGTACGGATAGAGACATAAGTAGGATCTGGGATGTAATGAATGCATTGGAAGCCGTGAGCAGGCTGCTTACCATCTTGTTCCACCTGTTACTTGTTGAGAGAAGTGAATGGGCAGTTAGAAAGGCCAGATGCCGCTTGCCCTGGCGTGTGCAGCACCAAAGGGTGCTCCATCATGGTGCCCCCCTCAGCCGATGCGACTCCCCCACTGCAGCCTCCTTACGCCCCACAACTCAGCGGCTGTGCCTGGTCAAGTCCACCTTTTGGTTGCCACAACAGTCCAGCTTCGCCCACTCCGTCTGGAACTGCTCCTGCCCACCACACATCCGGTGCCCCGCTCCTCCCCGCGCGAGCTAGGCAGGAGGTTTGAGATGCTTTTTTTAAACAGCAAGGTGGAATTAAATGAGCATGAGTTTCATGAGCATGAGGTTCGTCCCTTCCTACTCATGTCCGTTCACTTAGAGTACCTAGGGCAACCTTGGTATGCAAAACATGAGGTTCTTCTGTCATGCCAAAGTGCCATAGCACTGTCACCTCTTGGTGCTCTGCTGGGGATCTTTGGGGGTAGAAAAGCACCTGCACCTGGTGCAACAAGACACCCAGTTCTTGGGTGCAGAATTGATGAGTTCCCCTACGCTACGCAGATTCTCCAGTTCAACTTTGGGCATTCCAACGTTTGATATAGGGGTAGTTTTTGGAAAGCGCTGCTGCTTGCAAAGCTTGACAAAGAAGTCTATGGCGAAAATTTGGTGAAAGATTGCAGACACTTGCGGACTGGGAAGTTTGCAGCATATTGAACACCTTACAAACACTTCAGCTTGACCGGGCTGCTTTTTTCAAGCCCAATCCTCCGCGGAAACCTGAGAAGATTGTTTATCCCAGGGAATGTGTGGTCCAAGTCTACCTCTCAGGGGACACCCCATCACAACATATGTCATTTATGTTCGTAAATATTGTTTTTGGGTCCAGCATTGCACTTGTTCTTGCGCATTGAAATATCGCATTGTTTTTGGATCGGGTGGTCCAGGTAGGAACCCTTCAGAGATTCAAAAATGCTTCATCAAGCAAATCACTCACATGCCCACCAACTGAAATCCAATTCCATCCCACGCACTCCGAAAAACTCCCGTTTTTCTCCTTCAATGTCACCAGTCCGGTCCAGACTAACAAACAGACTTCCCCCCCCACAGAAACGTCCGCCGAAACAACGTCTCCAGGCCTGGGTGGGCTTGTGACCCAAGTAAAAGCGGAAGACCTCCCGAAACCTCAGCGCCCCGAGCGCTCGGGCGCTCAGAGCAGTTCCTGTCGCCCGAGAGCGACCGGTCCCGGGACCCCGGCGCTCGGGCTGGTGGTTCTAGATCACTCGCTTGAAACAGATGAGGTCAGTGGGGTCAATCATCCCAAGAAGTAAAGAACTGAAAAAAGAAACATAACATGGCGCGACTTGCGGTCTCAGTCTGAAGACAATAATATAACATAAATTATCTTATAAACTTAAACCACCACCCAGAATAGTTTCCAGGGTCATCCAGGGTTCAGGTTCATCTATCGGACGG